ATATATATATATGTGTATTTATTTATTTATTAAGATGTGCACATACATTAACATTACTCACTTCGTCTCTCCGACGCAGTCTCTCTTTTTCTTCTTCTTCCAAAATATAGTCAGTTCAAAAGCTGAAACTGGACTACGTTGAATATAAGATAATTAATTATATAAGGTAATTAACATATATGTTTCCAGAGAAAAATATGGGGTAACCCATTCGTTGCATTATGAATAATAAATTGCATATATGACAATACTTACAAGTGTCAAGAATACTGCTCTAGAGATTTTCTGTTACGATTATTCGCAATTTGATATTTGCGTATACGCAATTATTTCAAGAATAGAGACCTAAGAATTTTTCATTGCAAGCAACTTGTTACTTGGGTATACGCAATTGGTTCAAGAATAGGATCCCAGATTGAAAATTTTTCCAAATTACAGCCGGTCACAGAAAAAGATTGTAACACTTTTCTTTTGATGAGTTTCGGAATGCAACTTGCTCAATCGAGGGATTGGTTCTTATTTATGAACCTACAAATTCGATCGGTGATAATTGTTTTTATAATTTCATAAATTCATTTCAATTTCATTTTAATAAGCTGCAGGAAAAGTGCAGATAATGCTGATTAATTGCTTCAATAACGCATTTTCTATTTCGCAATCCTATTTCGCCGTAATTTTATCTTTAGGAAAATCACGCAGTGCGAAATAGGACTCTATTTTTCCCTTGATGTTGGAATAATTAGTGCGTCATTGTTCTTGTAATAAACCATCATAATTTGAGTAATTAAAATAATTTGATGCTGATTGAAATTACATAATGTCGAGATGAATCGAAACAAATAAAGCAAAAATCTGAATACATAAATATAAACACCAAGATAAAAAAAACAATGCATTATGTGCGATTTCAATGTGTCCTTTTCCGCACTTTTCCATCAGTTTTATGTTCACATAATGCGGAAAAATGCGTTAAAGCAGTTCGAAAAATTGTTATAAGATTGTAAATATTGTAAAATACTACAACAATGATAATTATTTTTACAATTTGAAAAATTATATTTCATTTTAATAAGCAAATTATTAACATGAAGTTAGTAGTTTTTAAATTTATATTCATGCTGGATACATCTTTAACGCATCACGAATATAGCACACAAAATTTGCGTGATGGAAAAATGCGAAATAGCGCTGATTGGTTGCTTCAATGACGCATTCTGTATTTTGAAGTTCTATAATATTCCGGACTGTGTGATTTCATCCTTAAGATGAAATCATACACTGTGGAAAATGATTGCGAAATAGAAAATTATTCCGAATAGCGTCAATTGATTGGTTCAATGAACGTTCAAGTTGACAAAACAACTAGTGCTTGCCGAGCAAATGAACATAATTGATTGTTACTTATAATTCCAACCAATCGCTCGGTAAGCATGCCTAGCCGCTTTGTCTTCTTGAACTCGACCAATGATGCATTCTCTATTCCGCACTTTTTCTGCACCGTGTTTCATCTTACAGAAAGGTCGAAATGTGGTCTGTTTTCTGTTCCTAATGTTAGATTGCACTAGAAATTTTATTCTCACTTTCGATAAATATCAAACATATACCTATTTCACTTTAAGTTCCAAAAGTATACATTGTTTCAATCACACACACAAAACAGACCTAGCCTCTCTCAAAGTTTCTCTCTACCATGTCCTCCATGCTCTGCTCATAGTATTGAGTGCACCCACTGATCATATAGATAGACTGCGTTTGGAAATATCACTCATTGTATGTTTCGGTGACTTTAGTGGAAAAATAATGAGGATATCGTGTGCCTTTGGGTGGTGAGTATTCCCGAACGGCTTCCGTGTGACATGTGTGTCAATTCTACCTCACTCTCACCGCTCACGTTTAACCCTAACTTCGAGCTAAAACAATTCATTCAGTGAAAAAAGGTGGTGGAATGATTGTAAAGAGGAACGTTGGCGGTATATGATTGTAAAAAGAAAGGAATATAAGTCATTCCTTCCACGATTACCGATGCCTATTAAACATTTCATTATCGTACTGGATAATTATATGTTGCTGTATTGACTTTAGACAATGGTACAATTTTTCATCGTGAAAATTCAAGTTAATATAATGCTGATTCTACAATGAGTCAGTAGTCTTATGGGCTTTCTACAATAAGCAATAGATCATAAATTATAAGTCATAAGTTAGAAATGAACCAATCGCAATCAAGTTTCTGACTTCTGATTTATGACTTATGACTCATTAATTTCATTGTAGAAGACCTATTAATCTTAATCAATGAATTTGATCAATCAGCGTTAGTCTTACAAGTTGGCTATTAGTCAATTTTACTGACTAAGACTTCCGACTATCAACTCATTGTAGAATCAGCATAACAGATTTGACAACTAACTATATTCTGATTGTAACAGGTTTTATTATTGTAAATCCTTAAAGAAAATTGACATCAATAAAAGTTTAAATACTGGATGTTGCTTCATCTTCCAAAGATCTATTAATTCCTGTGAGGCTTATTGTTGATCTTACAACAGTTAGTTTTGTTCTAAATAATATTGAACGCATACAATTTTATACAACATTTATACAAAATAATCTGTTATATAATGTGCGTAAAATATTATTAAAGGTAGAGCAATATAAAAAGAAAGTTAGAATAAAAATAAATAAAAAATAGTAAAACTTGGACAAATTTTCTAGATTAATAAAACTGCTCAAAATTTTTTGATCTAAGAATGTGACGTAATTGTCCTTTTCTTCCATTCCATGGAAAAGAAGAATTTCGATTAGTCGATTCCCTTATGCACTATGCATTATGCGTTATGTAAGTCTGCGCTGCGACCATAACACATCGATTTCCCTTGCTTTTCGCACGGGATGGTTAGTGACACTCGGTGTGACTCTCTCAACGTTTCTGAACGATCTCACATTAAGTGCACACCGAGTACACACGAGTATTTCTGAACGGCTGGTGTGTATTAGTGGCATACCAATAAATATTTCTGAACGTCTAATATGAGGATCAGGATCCCAGGAGGATTACGCAAAGATCAAATTTATGTCGTATTGGCTTTAGGAATAGGAAGCGGTATTTATACTTGGAATTCTGTATTAAAGGAACATATGAAAGAATATGAAAAAGAACTACAGTTAAATGAGGTAATCAGCGAATTGTACTTAATGATACGATTATAACCTGTACAGTTATGTTATATATTTCACAATTATATAACGTTTAATTTTGTGTGTGTGTGTGTGTGTGTGTGTGTATATAAAACTTTTATAATTACAATTGTTCTGGTCAGACAATTACATATTAATCATTATCAGTACTATTATTGATGTGATATTAGTACTACTAATATTAAGATTCTAACAAAAAAATAAAGTTTGCTTGTTTAATAAAAAAAGAACAAATAATATATTGCAAGGATTTTTATCATTCGTAATTCTTTTTTAAAAAACTATCACTGCTTGTTTTAAAAACAAATTTGATTACGAGCAAAGATTTTATAAATGATATTTTTTTCTTAAAATATAACATTATAATAAATTTTAGTTTGATAACGAGAAGGAAAAATCTGCTAGTTAACAAGTTTAGCTGGTTGGGGCTTGTAGCGATTGGCGGTGCTTTTTCTATAATGGGTTTCAAGTAAGTATATATTTTGCTCTATTTTTATGAAGTTAAATAAGGATGAAATAAGGATATATTAGAACGTAATGCATTTTCTTATGCAGAATTTTTATACAGCCATGGTTCAAACGACGAAAGGCAGCAAAAGCTGAGGAATTTGCAAATTTTATTTACGAGCAGCGGAAGAAAAGAGCCTTGGAGTAGAGGAAAAAAATTCAACTGGACGATGTAAACCTTTATTAATACTTCATAATTTAAATAAACAGATAAAATGTAAATATAGCATGGTACAATAGAATCTCTATCGTTCCAATAAAACTATTACATTATCTTATTGAGTGATCTCGTAATCTATTCTTGAAACTTGCTACCATAGAATGGAATATATCGCACCACTGCTTTCCAGTCTGTAAAGTACAACAGTGATAACCATGCACCAGTTCCATAAGTCACTATACTTGGAGTCCTAAAAAAATTATTTGATATCTTGAATAAAAGATGTCAAATATCTAATGCAGCATAAAAAATCTTATAAACTACTACTTATAAACAAATATACAACTTATAAACAAAATAAAACAAATCTCCTTTGCTTTTGATGTAAGAAAGAGAAATATATGAAAATTATAAAAATAAACTTTATTATTTATTCCATGCAGTCATTTAATAGTTAGAAATAACATACGAATGATATATTTAATGGGCGTATCCAGGGAAGTAGTTTTGGGGGTTCAACCCTCCCCTAAAATTTTTTATTAATTATTTCATTTTAGGATGATCACATTAGTATATATCCCGATAGCACATATCTACTCATATCGGTAGATGTCTAGTAATTTTTCACTGCTTTTTTAATTAATTATATATTATAATTTAAAAAAAAAATTAAATTG